TGCCCCGTCCCTCAGCCTCCCCGGTGCCCCATCCCTCAGCCTGCCCGATGCCCCATCCCTCAGCCTGCCCGATGCCCCATCCCTCAGCCTCCCTGATGCCCCATCCCTCAGCCTCCTCGATGCCCCATCCCTCAGCCTGCCCAATGCTCGCCCCTAAGGACCCGGGTTCCCCAGCGCGGCCTGAGCCTCCATGTGGACACTCACAGTTGTATTGTCTGTTTGTGACATTATTTGTTTAACCTTCGCAGCAGAGAATAGCCCTTTCCCCACCCACGTTCCCAATTTGGGGGTCAGGTATTCTTTATGTTAAAGTAACTTGTAAAACAGAGACGCACTAACAAGGACTTACTGGTAACATACCCCTTCCTCTGGGGACTGCTGGTCCCACCAGATTCATTTCCACCCCATCTCAGTCACAAATTGTGGGCACCGTGTGAGCCCACTCAGTCGCATGCCTCACCTCTCCTCCTTCCTCTGCCCTTGTGGTAGCCGTCCCGCAGAAGACCGAGTATTGCGAAGAGGACGTGCTCTGTGGGCCGACTCCCCCAGTTTGTCCCCTGCGCCTTGGGGACAGAGTCCCTTCAGGGGCCACCTCGGGCTTAGGCTCCGGGAGACCTAGATTACTGGGGAAAGCGTCTAGCCACTGGGCCAGAGCAGCTGCTGGTCGCCCTCCCCTCCGCACCAGGCCTGTCCCACCCCTGAGACACGCACATTCTCTCTTTTCCTTTGGGGGCATAGCATTTTACAGGAACGTCAACTAATCCATTCTCTCCCAACAGTGCCACGGTTTCCCTCACACCAAGCTTTGTGTTCTCTTTGACTCGAGCACCTCCCTACGCTCCCCTACTTGTTTCTTTAAGTTTCACTCATATCCAGGTTCCCCGGAAAAGTGAGCCCTGTCGATCCTTCTTCCCGTACATCCCCCTCATCCCCATTCTTAACTTCCCAAAACTTGACAGCGTTCTGTGACTATGCCCTGCTTTGACCTTGTAATAAATGGCTTTTGCATCGCTGACTTGGCACTCAACAAATACTTACTCGTTTAGCTACTCTGTCAAATTTTCCAAACTCACTGGGGCTACTTAACTAAAGAAAACTGCAGTGACTCTCGTTAGAGCAACTGTAGCCTAGATCTTCAGCTCTTCGTCCAGACAGACATCATGGTGCAGTGCGAGGCGTATAGAGGCCGTGTTTACTTAGGAGTGGTGCGTGGAGTCTGCTTGGCAGGGACAGATTTCCTCAGACTTTAATTTATGAAACACATTTCATTTGGTTAAATGAAGTTACTGGTGTTTTTATGTATCATAAGACTGTTGGGCACTTGGAAGTCAAAGCTTGGAAACAGTTCAGTCAGAAAAAGCGAAGGACCATATGATTTCACTCATGTGAAATATAAAACTGGAACTTGTGAACACAAACAGCAGGGAGGTCACTCCCACAGGGGGAGTGCCATTCAGCCAGAAGCCGGGCTCACGGCTGGCAAGCGCAGCAGTGGTAGCAGGAGCCTCTCCCGCCTCCGTGGCAGTGCTAAGGATGTCTGACAGACATCCTCTGAGCGCTCCCAAACTATGAGAGGGCACAGGCCAGGCTGAGGGCCCTCCCCGCCCCCCAGTGCATGAATTTCGTGCACCAGGCCTCTAGTATGTTCATGTTGACCAATTTCACCCCAATAAACTTACTGTAAAAAAAAAAAAAGTAAAAGCTTAATAAATGAGCTCTACTCTAACCTTAAGTTGGAGATGAAGCCATATTCTTATATGCAAATAGTTTAGAATGTAATGTGGTAAATGCTCTAGTAGAAAGGTGTCCTAGAGGCATAGAAAATATAGAAGGCTTAAGTATCTCAAAAACTTGACGTGGTCAAGTCTTAGATGCTGCTGAGAGGTCAAAAAAGTTGGAAGGTATATCCATTGGGTTTGGGGGCATAGTTTCAGCTAAGGAGCGAAACCATGGTAACGTGGAATTAGACACTAACAGGTATAAGCAGCATTGTGGTCCCTGGTGGAGAGGGGAGCACGTGAAGCCTGGGGTGGGAGTAGGAAAAGCAGAAGTGAAGGGGCTGGCAGTTTTGTTGGGGTTGAGAAACAGGTGTGCGCAGTGGGAGCAACGTGTCAGAACCAGAAGAGAAGTTTGTGGTAAACGCTGACATTGGTGTTGGAGGTTCACAGGCAGGTCCTGGGTGATCGTAGGGTTAAGGTGCTGATCCTGGACCAGACGGCTGAATATCTGAAAGCACGAGGAAGGGGGTCGGGGGCGGTTAGGAGCCTTTGGGTCACATAACACGGACAATCCTCTCTCACAGGAACCGTTGACAAGCACTCAGTGGAAGTCACCAACTGCTTTTCAGTGCCGCACAACGAGTCAGAGGATGAGGTGAGTGGGACCCTAGCTGCCCCTGTGCAGTCTGTAGCTGTTCTTTTGCTGGGCTCCCCTTCGGGCCCTCCCCCACACTATGCTGTGCTCACAACTAGAGTCCTCCAGTTCACAGAGCTTCGCTCCTTTCGGACAAACTGCACGTGCCTTTTCTGTCTGGTGGGTGGCCTCTCATTCTTAGCCATTTTTTTCTATGAACTTCTGGCTTCTGAGCTTCCTTTCCTGCCTTCTTAGGTGGCTGTTGACATGGAATTTGCTAAGAACATGTATGAATTGCACAAGAAAGTCTCTCCAAATGAGCTCATCCTGGGCTGGTAAGTTGGGATACAGGGGGGTTGGAGAGTCTCAGTGATTGCCAAGGCCTTTTGCCACCAGACTAGATGTGCTCCCTCTTCAGGAGACAGAGCACTGAAGGTGTGTGACCTCGAGGGGCTGTGAATTCAGTGCGTGTTGCTGGCTATTCTGATCCTTTGAGGCCAGAAATATCTTTTCAGTTGCAGCTTTTACTGAACAAGTCTTTTGCTTTGCTAATGATTTGGGATTTTTCAAGAGCTCTAAGTCAGCTTTTGATTTGATTTGATATAGTTTCCTATGTTTACTGTTTTATTATTTGGAGTGTCACCGGGTATCCCTACCATGGTACCTAGAGACACCCATGCCACCATCGTGGTTGGTATTGATGTCACATGTAGGCATGCGTCCACAACCGTGTTTCATTTTCCAGGTACGCTACAGGCCATGACATCACAGAGCACTCTGTGCTGATCCATGAGTACTACAGCCGGGAGGCCCCCAACCCCATTCACCTCACCGTGGACACGAGCCTCCAGAATGGTCGCATGAGCATCAAGGCTTATGTCAGGTGACCAGGGTCTTGGGCCACAAGGGCATAAAAGGCTATCTAGTTCATACCATGGCCAGATGACACCCACCTCCAGCCCCGGCAGGTACAACTCCCTGCCTCCTAAGGAAGCCCCTCAGAAAAGTTTTATTTGCCCTGAAACAAATCCATCCTGGAAATTTCCACTCGCTGATCCTAGCTGTACCCCAGATTTCTCCTTGCTCTTAACCAGTGTCAAGGGGCAGCCCTTTAGGTATTTGAGCAAGCTATCATGTTCTTCATGTCACTTTTTTGGTGGGGGGTGGGGGGCGGCTAATTCTGTACAGTTGCTATGGTCGATCCTTCCATGGTGTTCTGGTCATGGTCCTTCACCATGTTCACTGCTTGTCTGAGCTGCCCTCTGTAGTGTGTTCTTCTCCCTGGAACTGAGCAGGGATAGGGGTAGTGCACATTGAGAATGGCTGTCCTTATGGCTGTCCAGGGTTTAGTACAGTTTGATGACCGTAACGTTACAGTATTAAACTGGTGAAAGTGGCGGTTAGTGGGGGGTATTGGGAAAGGCTGCAGTGGCATGCTGAAGCAGGGGCTGCTCTTGGAGTTGGAAGGATTCTACTTTCTGTTTATAATGAAGGCATTTGTTAAGTTTATATGCTGATTAACTTTGTGCTGTTTCTGTGTCTGACAGTGACGTAACTAGTTAACAATTATGCAGTAAGACAGATGGTGGGTACCAAGCCCTTATGGCCAGTTGGGGTACCACTAGGCTCTAGCGTTGCCTGCTTTCTTAGCCTTCCCAGATATTTCATGTATCTCAGACCCAGTTGGAAGTGTTTAGCTGACATAGTAAAGGCAGTCTCCTTTAGTGCGATGACTTGCGGCACCCGACCTAATCTGGTGGGCTGGAGTGAATTTGTCTATCAGATGCAGATGGAGGGCTCAGTCCCAGAAAAGACCTGTCCTGTCTCTTCTTTCTGTGGTGGTGGATGTCTAGGCAGCCAGCTCCAAGGAAAATTAGTGTCCTGTTCTCTCATCACTGAGATTGCACAGGTACCACAGGTCCGAAAGCTGAGTCCCCTCCCACAGGCCAAGGGGTTGGTGTGTGGAATGAGCAAAGGGGAGAAAGTGAGCCCTCTGGGGTTCGAGCCTTCTTATGTCAGAACCTTGGGAGCCGTACTCTTGGTGTGGCTGCTTTCCTGGCCTGCACCTGATGTGGAAGCCCTCCCAAGGCCATCTTGTTTACCTTGACTTCTCTCTCCCCAGCACTTTAATGGGTGTCCCTGGGAGGACCATGGGGGTGATGTTCACACCTCTGACGGTGAAGTACGCGTACTATGACACTGAGCGCATTGGCGGTGAGTCACCTTCCATGCTCTCTTTCAAGGCCTTTGGCATTTGCATGGGAGGAGTTGCTGCTTTCTGACAAGGATGGAGGGCCTTGGGTTGGTTAAAGAGGAACCATTGAAGTCAGTCATTCTCCTACATAAATGGGATTCAAGGAATTATGTGTGAAATTGTTAAAGGTGGGAGATTATCAGTACCACAGGCTACATGGCTGTTCATATGAGACCAAAACCAGTGATAGCATTCTAGGTGCAGGAGTTGGCCGCTGTCTTGAGAAACACTAATAAGGGCAGAGCTGGGGAGTTGGGGGAAGTAAACCGAGTCCAGAGGGAGGTGGGAGAGTTAGCAGGATGGTTAGAAATCATCTCTTTCCTGATGGAATCACTGAGTTTTCCATTTCTTCTACCTCCCAACCCAACCCCACAGTTGACCTGATCATGAAGACCTGTTTTAGCACCAACCGGGTGATTGGACTCTCAAGTGACTTGCAGCAAGTAGCAGGGTCCTCGGCTCGCATCCAGGATGCCCTCAGCACAGTGTTGCAGTATGCGGAGGACGTGCTGGTGAGGAGGGGAGGGGACAGGAAGGAGGGCATAGGTCCACCCTAGCTTGCTGGGGGGTCTGCTGAAATGACAGCCCTCAGCTGTGAGACTTAACTGTGCCCATTCAATCTGTTTGGTGCTCAGTCTGGAAAGGTGTCCGCTGACAATACTGTGGGCCGCTTCTTGATGAGTCTGGTTAACCAAGTACCCAAGATCGTTCCCGAGGACTTCGAGACCATGCTCAACAGCAACATCAATGTGAGTGCCGCTCCTCGGTTCCTGGGAGCCTGTGCCTTCCTACCTCACCACGGATGTGAAGGGACTTGGGGGACAGGAGACTGGGCTTCGCCTTTGCCACCCTTACTCTCCCGTTTGGGAGGAAGAGAGAGTACACATGCTCAGAGACCCCTTCTCCTTCCTTGATTGCATTGGCCCAGGTCCTGCTGATACTGTGACTTGTTATCTAAATCCATAGTTGAAAGAAATGCTTAAATTCAAAGGTTAATAAAAATGCAATTTCTTATTTTTCTCATTGAGTTCAGAGATGGGAGTGTTCTCAAGCATTTCCTTCCCGTCTTCTACCTCTCACTTACCCTCTCCCAGCTGTCATTTATCCAGGATGGTCCACACACCCAGTGTCTGTTGGCGAGCTGCCCAGACCAGCCTTTCTGCTCCCCTTCCACCCAGCTCCTCACTCATCATGACTTCTTTCTCTTCCAGGACCTACTGATGGTGACCTACCTGGCCAATCTCACCCAGTCACAGATTGCCCTCAACGAGAAACTTGTCAACCTGTGAATGGCCCCAGCAGTAGGACTCAGAGTGGAGTGAAGTGGAAATGGCTTCTTGTGGTTTGAGTCACACTGAGTGAGTCAGCTGCTTGTGACTCTAAATAAACATAGCCTATCTTTTGTAAATGATTCCATCTTATGTGCATTTACTGCTGGGGAAGGCAGAAAACTGTTCGAGAGCTCATGCAGAAACCACAAGTGAGTACTTTGGGTAGAAGTTAGTTGTGTGCTTGTCATCAGTTGTACCCACAGCCCAAGCTGCTGTAGCTTCACCTGCGCCCGAATCAGATAGCCTTAGCATACTGGTCACAGGGACACTGTCTCCCTACTCTTCTTGCTTATGATCGGAGCACATAGAAAGTTTTTTGTCACTTCTCTTCCATAGCATCTTAGGTGGATGGCAGTATAAAGGGTTGTGTTGTGCACAATTTGAAGTCCCTAGAGAATGTGCTGGCGAGGGAGAGAAGGAGGTGGATACAGATCTCAGTCCTGGGACCCATGAGTCCTGGTAGGAAGACAGCTTCTCCGTGGTGAGAAAACATTGCTTTATCGAATATTTCCTCTTGGTTTTCAGCCTGGAGAAGTTTCCCACAGTACGGTGAGCCACTTCTTGAAAGGGTCACATGGGTTCCACAGGAAATAAAAATGAGAATATATTCAGGGGAAATCATTGAGAATTGGATACTTAATCTAAACTGAAAGAATAGAGGGTGTGCTCAGTGTTTTAAAATACGTAAATAGTAGGAACGAGCTGTTTGACACTGGTTCAGGGGGGCAGAATTACCATTTCTAGGTCAAGTGTTTCCCCATTTTAGTGGGGAAAACAGAAAAGTAATCACTTGCAAAACAGTGGAAAATGAGTGCTGATCTAATACTTACTGAGCACCTGTTATGTTTGGGGGCAGTAGTTATTTTCAGAGGAGTGTAGTACATTACTTGAAGTTACACAATTAGTAAGTGATGAAACAAGATTTGAATTCAGGTTTGAATTTCATTTTTGTGTGTAGCCCTCTGCTTCACAGTTTAGTGGCCCAATGAAATCATTAATAGGGCAAAAATGCAACATGACAGGAGCACATGATAAGGATTGACCAACTCTCAGAGGGCATCTGGGAGGATTCTACCCAGGACGTTATATCTGAGCTGGTTTTTTGTTTTTCAGCCAGGAAATCATGAAAGGCAGAAGAAACATAAAAAAGCTTAACCTACTACGAGCTAAAGGAAGTGTTTATAAGGATTGGATCATGGATCTCTAATAAAGCTTCAAGCTTGACTGCAAAAAAACAAAAAACAGAACTTAACCTAAGGGGACATATGCAGGAGCCGAGCATAGGGCCCTCCGTCTGTGGAGGTGAGCTCTGTATTCCGGAAGCTGTGGGAAGCCAGTGGATAATTTTAAGTGGATTTAGTCAGATGTGGGTTTTAGGAAGATCACCTGGTAGTGTAGGAAGGGTAGAAATAGAAAGCAGGGCGATGAGTTTGAGGGCCACTGTTGGTTCAGAGGAGAGATGAGTGCCCAAACTGAGGCAGTAGTGGTGGGGATGGTGAGGAAGACTCGGATTCTAGAGGATGTTACGAGGCAGACTAAGGAGGCCCTGAGACGGGTTGAAACATGGATGGTGAGAGGTAGGAGGAGTCCAGGGTTGCCTGTTTCTGGTATTAGTGGGTGAAGCGATGGTCATATGTGGAAGCTGGCTATTCCAAAGTGCTGGAAGCTTAGAGGATGCAGAGAGCTGGGACCAGAATTAAGGTTAGAGGGACCACACGGTGAGGTCTTCAGTGCAAAACAAAAGAATTGTGACTGGTGAACTGAACTGCACCAGGTCTTTTGGGAAAGGCTGAAGAATTCAAGTTAGCCATTTGCTCATGTGATACTTAAATGCCAAACTCTGTGCTAAGCAAAAAGCCATGTGACCTGCTTAAGATGTACCAGAGAGGACCAAGTAACCATTATCTTGGGAGTCACAGGTGTCGCGGGTTATGGAAGGCGTCTCATCAGGAAGTTAAATCTAAGCTGGACTTGAATGAGGGCAGACTGAAAAAGAAGACAGGAGAAAATGGCCTTCTAGGCACAGAAAGGAATAGGTGCAAAGGCTCAGAGAAAGGCAGCGTCAGCCATGTGGCTCCAGCCTTGCTGACTCCTGGCTCAGGAGCTGTTTGTGAGGAAAGGAACGCTCTGTACCTAGGCTGACTGAAAAATAATGACTGGATTTTTTAAAAAATATTTTTAAAAATTGATTTTTAGAGAGAGAGAGTGGAGGGGAGGGGAGAGAGAGAAATATCAATTGGCTGCCTCCAGCACACCCCCTATTGGGGATCAATCCCGCAACACAAGCCAATATTTTTAAAAATTGATTTTTAGAGAGAGAGGGGAGGGGAGAGAGAGAAATATCAATTGGACCAACCCCGCAACACAAGCCTGTGCCTTGACTGGGAATCGAACCTGAAACCTTTCGGTTCACAGGACGATGCACTGGCCAGGGCTGGATTTTAAAAACAGACTTGCTTATGTTCGCACAAGTCTGTTTTTACTGTCAATGTGTGTACATGTTCTCTGTTATGTGGTTGTGCTTATGCTAAAAACAATGTGGCTTGACTTCTGTGACACACCGCACTCCCCGGATTTTCTCTCAACTGCCTTAACCACTCTTCAGTGCTTTTTCTTGGTCCTTCCTCCTCTGACCCTCCCTACTGTTTCATTCCCCAGGGCTGCATCCTGAGCCCTCTGCACCACCTCTGCACCCTCTGCCTGGAAGACCTCACGAAGTCTGTGACAGTTATGACTGCCTGTATGTTCAGGATGCCCATGCTCTAGCTCTAGCTCTGGCCACATTCAGAACTAGTTTCCTGATGCTGGACTAGTTAAACTGACACAAGATACCTCACCTGGATGTCTCAAAAGCATCTGAAATTCAGTTCCATATTGAACTGATTGTCTCTTCCTCCCCCACAAATCACCTGAATTTTCTTCCTCAGGTGATAACTCAACTATGTTCCCAGTTATCCAAACCCTAAACCTTGGGTAAATTCTTGATTCTCCCCTCCCTTTCCACCATCATGCCTCAACTAGTTAATTACTACTCTGCCTTCAGTCTTGCCCTCTATGATGATAGATAGATAGATAGATAGACAGATAGATAGATAGATGATATAGATATAGATATAGATATGTTGGTCGTCATACTCCTGGCAGGCAGCTTGTAAAACCTTGGGAATTTCCTAAGTGATGGGAGCTATAAAGATAGAGTCTTGTTATTCCTAACAAGCCCCTGTCAACAGCATCTAAGTTTATGTTAATGAAGTGATTTTAGAAAGCCTCTAGATAACCATAAGATGGGGACTGGTTGCCAGGAGAACTGACCTGCGTGATTGGAGGTGGGAACTTTGAGCTGGATTTAATGCCAGTGAGTTAATCAAACTCCCCTACATATGAGGCCTCCACAAACCCCACAAGGACAGTTCGGAGAGCTCCTGGGCCGGTGAACAAGAATGCAGCCAGGAACCCGGTGCGTGCCAGGACGGTGACACAGCCAGACAGGGCCTGCAGCTCCTGGGTGCCAGACAGACCCCTTCAGACCGCACTCTGCCTCTTCATCTGGCTGCTCATTCGTATCCTTTGTAGTAAATCAGTAATGGCTAGTGATCTCCAGTTCTGTGAAGTGCTCCAGCAAACTAATCCAACCCAAGGAGGGGGCCGTGGGAAGCTCCAATTTGTGGTGGGTCGGTAATGCACAGGTGTCAGCCTGGACTTGCAACTGGCATCTGAGGGGGTGGGGGCCGTCTTGTGGGACTGAGCTCTTAACCTTAGGACCTGACACTGTGTCCAGGTAAATAGTGTCCAAACTATGCTAAACTGTGGGACACTCAGCCGGTGTCAGAGTTGCATGGTGTGGAAAGTCACCTGCACGTCTGATCACGGAAATGTTTGATGTGAGTAGTCCGTTTAGAGAAAAACGGTTTTCCTGTTCACCTCTCTGGTCCATTCTCACAGCAGCCACACTGCTCTTTGCAAATCTGACCAGGATACACCTCAGTTGAAATCTCTTCAGTGGAGCCCCATAGCCCAGGGTCAACTCCATACTTCTTAACACAACCTGCATGGCTCATCAGATTGCATGGCTCTCCAGCTCTATCCCTTACTCCCAGCCTGGGCTTCCTTGCACTTGCTCTCTGCTCTGCTACAATATGTGCCCCTTTGGCTCATCCTACTGCTCATCCCTTAGGTTTTAGTCCAAATGTGCCTCCTTGGAAGGTGCTCCTAGACCAGGATTCCATGATACTCTCCTAGCTTAGCATTTATCTCACCGTTTTGAGCTTGTCTGTTTATCCCCTATTAGAGCACAAGCTCTGTGAGGGCAAAGTCTCCTGTAGACTTAACATTCCCAGGTCCCAGAGCCGACCCAGACCCAGAATAATTCTTAATAAACATTTGCTACATGAATAAATGAATGGGTGGCTTTCAGGATAATTACCACGAGGCGCTATGGACATAATAGGCTCATTAGGAGTCATCAGGATCTTCTGGATGGGGCTGGAGGGAGGGAGCGCACCAGACAGTGTTCCTTGTTTTACTCATTTATTCTCCAAATACTTAGTGACGCTTAGTAGACACTAGCCATAGAGGCAGGTACTGGGGCAACAGAAGTAGATGAACCATGTTCTCTGCCCTCTATGGGTCTCAGTATTATGGGGTAGATGCACAAAAACAATTATGACAGAATGCTGTAAATTACAGGGTAGGAACAAGTCTTAGGAAGACACAGTACAGAACATGCTGAAATCTGCAGAGAAGGGAATGCAGTCTTTAAAGACATTAAAATTGGCGCAGAGGAGGAAGAGCTTTGAAGAAAGGAATGAAGATCAAAACGTTACTTTCAGTTTCCTAGTGGCCCATATTTAGAACTGTGTTTCCAAGGGTACAGCAGCTCAGCGGTAATGGGAGGGCTGCAATAACAGCCACACACAGTATCTCCGCCTTCTCTGGGGACACCGGCCTCAGACTCTCCCAAAAGTGGGCCAGGGTGTCTCTCAAGTTCCCTGAACCTGGAGTCAGTTTTAAAGTTTGAAATTTTAATTAAATTTTACAAAATAATTTTTAACTGAACAAAATAATCATTGTGCCAGTAACA